ATGCCATGGCACTCTACCCAGGGGGACAGCTTGAGGCTCCTGTCTCAAAAAAAAAAAAAAAAAAAAAAGAACAATGGCATATTTGGGAAAATATTTGCAACTCATAGTAAAGAACAAGTTTTCCTATAATTAGTAAGCAAAAGAACAAATAATACAGTGGAAAAATGGACAAAAATTATGACAAACTTTTTTTATGAAAGGAAATGCAATAGTTCTTAAACATGAAAACTCAATCTCTCTCTTGTAATATGGGAAATGCCTATTAATACTACCTTGTGGTATTATTTTCCCTTGCCAGATTGACCAACATCAAAAAGTTTGATCACACTTTATGGGGAAAGAGACCATTCCATTCACTGCTGTGACTATGATGGGCAGTTTATGAGTTGTACCTTTTTTAGAAACAGCATACATGCATAAATAAACTTACATTTGTATGATGTGTATATAAGTTTTATTCACTGAACCATTGTGTATTACAGCAAAAATTGGAACATACTCAGTTAAAAAATAATATAACATAGAGTTTCTGCATGGCAAAAACTACCATAAGAAAAATACAGTGTGTTATAATTTGTGTAAAAAATAAGGACAGAAGAGATGCATACATGTATTTGTATGTGCAAGAATATTTCTGAGATAATGCACAAGAAATTAATAGCACTGATTGCTTCTGAGAAGGGTAACTGGAGGGAGGGAGACAGGAATGCCAGGGAAATTTTTCACTCTATACTCTTTTGTACCTTTTGAATTTTGAACCATGTGAATATCTTACATATTCAGAAATAAAAGAAAATATTAAAGTATTTTTATACCATTGAAAGGCAACAGAAAATATTTACAGTCTGCATAACACAAAAACTACAGGAGAATCTACCAATTTATAACTTTGAAACTATTTATTAGAACAGTTGAGGTTGATTCGGGTGAGCAATTGGTTATCTGCAACCCTTATATGTGGGTTGTTTTTTTTTTTTTAGAGACAGTCTGACTTTGTCACCCTTGGTAGAGTACTGTGGCATCACATCTCACAGCAACCTCCAGCTCTTGGGCTTAGGCAATTCTCTTGCCTAAGCCTCCCCAGTAGCTGGGACCACAGGTGCCCATCACCATGCCTGGCTAAGCAGAACAGGTTTTTAATGATAAAGAATTTATTATTTTTGCAGGTTTATCCTTCTGGAACTTTTATTTACTACTATTAAAAAATTTCTCCAACTCTTTATTTATTTATTTATTTTTGAGACAGAGTCTCACTTTATTACCCTTAGTAGAGTGCTATGGCGTTATAGCTCACAGCAACCTCAAACTCTTGGGCCCCTCCCGAATAGCTGGGACTGTAGGTGCCCACCAGAATACCTGTCTATTTTTAGACATGGGATCTTGCTCTTGCTCAAGCTAATCTCAAACCTGTGAGCTCAGGCAATCCACCCACCTCAGCCTCCCAGAGTGCTTGGATTATAGGTGTGAGCCACCGTGCCCAGCCCAACTTTTTTTGGACAGTCTCACTTTGTCATCCAGGCTAAAGTGCTATGGTGTCATAGCTCACAGCAACCTCAAATTCTTGGGCTTGAGAGTTTCTCTTGCCTCAGCCTCCCTGAGTAGCTGGGATACAGGCACTTGCCACAATACTCGGCTAATTTTTCTATTATTAGTAGAGATGGGGTCTCACTCTTTCCCAGGCTGGTCTCAAACTCCTGAGTTCAGGCAATCCACCTGCCTTGGCCTCTGAGAATGTTGGGATTGCAGGAATGAGCCACCATGACTGCCCTTAGCCCAGAGTTTTTGATATCGTTTTCCCTCTTTTCTCCAAACTAGCCCTCATGAATTTTTCCTTTTGTATTATATTTGTTTTGTATGCATCAGAAAAAAAACATTTTTTATGTTCATGTTAATACATGTTCACTTTAAGGGTGGTACCTGTGGCTCAGTGGGTGGGGTACCAGCCCCATATACCAAGGGTAGTGGGTTCGAACCCAGCCCCTGCCAAACTGCAACAGCAAAAAAATTAGCCAGACATTGTGGCAAGCACCTGTCGTCCTAGCTACTCGAGAGGCTAAGGCAAGAGAATCGCCTAAACCTAGGAGTTGGAGGTTGCAGTAAGCTGTGACGCCACGGCACTCTACCAAGGGTGCTAAAGTGAGAGTCTGTCTCTTAAAAAAAAAAAAAGATACATGTTCACTTTAAAAAATTTTGGAAAATAGAAGCCCAAAAAGAAAATCAAAACTATTCCAACTTGGCTGAGTGTGGTGGTGCACACCTGTAATCCTAGCTTCCTAGAAGGTTCCCTTGAGCTAAGGAGTTCCACCTGCCTTAGCAAGAGAGAGACCCTCTCTCTACTAAAAATAGAAAATTTAGCCAGGTGTTAGGAGGGTGTTAGGACCCTCCTTGAGGGTCTGAGACAGGAAGATAGCTTGAACCCAGGAGTCTGAGGTTGCTGTGAGGGAGGCTGACAACACAGTATGCCACACTAGGGGCAGCAGAGTGAGACTCTCAAAACCAAACTTAACTCATCCCCTAAAATAGAGTTGTCAAGTAAAGCATTTGGACATACTTACGCAAAAAAATTTTGGTGTTCATCTGAAATTTACAATTAATGGGGCATCCTGTATTTTTATTTGTCAAATTTGACAACTATACTCCAGAAGAACTACAGTGAATATTACGGTATCTATTATATATTTTGTAATCAACTATATCATTCAACCTTTTAAGTATTGTTTTTATATGCATAATTGGGTCTTTACTGTGAGTTCAGATATATATTTAAATTTTCTCCACTTTCTTCAGTGGTTTCACTTTTTATATTTTAATCTGTCTGAAATTTTTATGTATATTATTAGATGTAGGTATTGACTTTTTCCCCAAATGATGAATTACTTGTCTCAGTGTTATATATTGAATAATTTATTATTTCCTTATTTAGTTAAGTGATTAATCATGTAATAGTCTAAAAAAATTTTTTTTGGCAGTTTTTGGCCAGGGTTGGGTTTGAACCCACCACCTCCGGTATATGGGTCCGGTGCTCTACTCCTTGAGCCACAGGTGCTGCCCGATAGTGTAAATTTTTAATTACACCCTTTTCACCTAGCACAATTTCCTATCTCTAATTCCCTTAGTATATCTCTTTATTTTTTATACGTAATGTTTATTATAATTTTTATTATAATCTATAGAATTAAATTTCTTTAGAATATAGCCAAGGTACACATTGTAAGTAAGTAAAACACTAGCCCACAAGCACTATAAAGTCAATGTGTATAAAACTAAATTCATATTCTTTTTTCTAAATCTTGATCTCTCACCTGTATTCTTCAACTCAATTCTTAGTATCACCCTTCCGGCCACATGAAATTCTATTGTTTTCCCAAGGATTCTTTACTGACTTCTACATCCAAACAATACAGAGGTTTTCCTGATAACATATCCTAAATATTTCTCAAATCATTCTTCCTTTTCTTTCTTCTTTATTCCTTATTGGCTAAATTCATACTATCATCTTGTCTTTGTTTGTACCAATTTGTTTTCAAATAATTGCCATAATGGTTTATCTTAAGTTCCACTCTTAAAAATTGTTGACTTCTGGCCAGGCACCGTGTCTTGTGCCTGTAATCCTAGCATTCTGGAAAGCAGAGGCAGGTGGATTGCCTGAGCTCAGGGGTTTGAGGCCAGCCTAAGTCAGAGTGAGACCCCATCTCTAAAAATAGCTAGGTGATATGGCAGATGCCTGAGAAGCACTTGAGCCCAAGAGTTTGAGGTTGCTGTGAACTATGATGCCACTGCACTCTATCATGGGTGACAAAGTGAGACTCTGTCTCAAAAAAAAAAAAAAAAGAATTGTTGACTTCTGTTTGGTGTCAGAATATTCTGTACCAATCCTGTTCAACCCTCTCTATAAGTTTACCAGTCTTCAGTAGGGTTCCATCCACATTCTTTCTTTGATGGCTTATGGAGAGCCCCATTATCTGGCCTCATCTCAGTTAGTCATTAACTCTTCAAGAAATTCTAAACACTTCTATGCTCCTCCTTTCCCCTTCCTATCCCTATGACACATGCACACTCACACAATCTGTTTTAGGTATTGGCATTAAAAATATTTTCATTGGGCTCGGCGCCTGTGGCTCAACCGGCTAAGGCGCCAGCCACATACACCTAAGGTGGCGGGTTCGAATCCCCAGCCCGGACCCGCCAAACAACAATGATGGCTGCAACCAAAAAATGGCCAGGCGTTGTGGCGGGCGCCTGTAGTCCCAGCTACTTGGGAGGCTGAGGCAGGAGACTCGCTTGAGCCCAGGAGTTGGAGGTTGCTGTGAGTGTGATGCCACGGCACTCTACCCAGGGGGATAGCTTGAGGCTCTGTCTCAAAAAAAAAAAAAAAAATATTTTCATTGGCATTCTGTCACTGCCCTTTTCCTGGCTCTTCCTACCTTTCTGTGTCAAAGACTATAAATGCCTACTTAATATCCTTCTCCTCTTCTTAGTAACAGAACCTTGATTTTATTATGACAGCCTAGGAGTGGCCATTGGATGTAAATGACAGTCACTGATGGGCCTGTTAGGAAAGTTTCTTAATAGGGTCTTTTACTCTTTTCCCTTTTCTTTCTTGAAATACAGATGGAATGGCTGAAGCATTGAATTCATCTGGAATGGACTGTAACAGTGACTTTGAAGGTTGCCATATGAGAGGGACTGACACATATATACACATATCACTAGTGATACACAGTGTAGATATAAAGTAAGCTTTATTGAGAATAACTTAGAAGTAGTGGAGTTATTTCTCAGTTTTTATTCTATAGAGAGGTATGCTTTGGCCAGACAAAAGCAGCATGAGATGAAAATATTCTGAGAGAGAGATCCTGCCTCCATACCACTTTAGATGTTTTATTTGTTTGTCTTTTTTTTTTTTTTTAAAGACAGAGTCTAATTATGTCGCCCTCGGTAGAGTGCCATGGCGTCACAGCTCACAGCAACCTCAAACTCCTGGGCTTAAATGATTCTCTTGCCTCAGCCTGCAGACTACTGATATTAAATATTGCATTTCTGTCTTAGTTTTGGGTTCTCAATAATTGAGTATGTTTGGAACTAGTGTGCAACTTACTTTGAACCTTTGTGATTGCTGCTAATTTGTTGCCTAGAAGTGCTCTGAGCCTTAGTAAAATGCATTTTGTATTTGGGGTTTGTTTATTGGTTGATGTCCCTTCATAAACTAGGTATTTTATTAGTAAAGTTCAGTAAGTGTTTTAATTTATGAATTATCAGCAGTAACAATTGCCACATTATGTTCTGAATTTTATCTTTCTGTATATCTACGGGAAAATATTTTTAATTTTACAGACAGTAGCTCTTGATGGAACATTATTTTTAAAATCTGGGGTGATCTCTGGAGGATCAAGTGACTTAAAATACAAGGCTAGATGCTGGGATGAGAAAGAGTTAAAGAATCTAAGAGACAGAAGAAGCCAGCTAATCCAAGAGCTAAAGGTAAATTCATGGCGTGAAAGTTATAAATACTAAGTAGAATAATTTTGGAGGGGTTTGGTAATGAAAGTGCCATGCCTGGGCAGTGCCTGTGGCTCAAAGGAGTAGGGCGCTGGCCCCATATGCCAGAGGTGGTGGGTTCAAACCCAGATCTGGCCAAAAAAAGAAAAAAAAAAGAGGTGCCATGCCTATAGTTGAAACAATTCAAATAATGGAGAATGGAATAAAGTTTAACAAGAAAAATTATTTTCTTATCCTTCTTATGTATCAGTGGTATTTGCTAAACAGAATTTGATACACAGCCTCCAGACTATTTAGTCTCCTACTAAAGGACATTTTGTTTTTTGCTGTTACAAATGGTACAGCATTCAACATTCTTTAGAAAAGGAGAATAACATAGTACCTAAGAGTATAAATTCTATTGCCAAGCTGCCTGGGTTTAACTTCTGGCTGTGTCATTTACTAGTGGTATGATCTTGACAAATTACCTAACCCCTTTACTTTCCTCATCTGTAAAATGGGAACAGTAAGGGTACTTTCCTTTTAAAGTTGTAAGGATTAAATGAAATAATACAGATAAAATACTTAAATCAATTTCTGGCATATAAATAACTATATAAATGTTTGTTATTATTACATATTTGTTATAAACATATCTCTAAGATAAATTCTAATAAGTGGAATTTCTGCATCTAATAATAATGTGTATTTAAAATGTTGAAAGATACTGTTAAATTCTCATCAAAAGAAAACCTGTAATAGAGTCTGTGTGTCCTTAGATTTTAACACTGGATATTAACACACATATACCAATTAGCCAATATATTAATCTTTGCCATTCTAATTGGTAAAAAAGTATAACTCAATTGTTTGATATGTATTTCTTAAGTTAACTAAGGTTGAGCATTTCTTCATGTATTTATTGGTTCTTTGCAATTTTTTCTTCTGTAAACTAATTTTCTGCACATATTCTTCTAATAGGTTGTTTATTTTGTTACCTATTTTGAGTTATTTATGTGAGTAAATTAGTTGCTGAATTTTATCAAATGCCTTTTATATACAGTCATCTGACTTTTCTCCTGCCATTAACTCATTAATTAACAGATTATGTTGATCAATTAATTGAAGCGCCCATGCATTTGTGAAACAAATTTTTTCCAGTCAGATGTATTTTCTTACTGCATTGCTGAATTTTCTATATATTAAGACATTTTATTTAGAAATTATGCATTTATACTCATAAGGGGTATTAAAGTTGTACTGACATTTGTGTAGTTAATGTGTAGCCCAAGACAACTCTTTCTCCCAATGTGTGACAGGAAAAAAAGGTTATATACCCCTGATTTAACCCATGCTCCATCATACAGAAAGAAACTTTTCTGTTCATTTTATAAAGGATTATTCAATTGGAAAAATAATCTTCTAATTTTTACAAATGAAGATTTCCTGGGACTAGTCAAAAAAAAGTGACAAAAAAGAAGTAAGATTTTTCCCTGCCAGCATGAAGAATACTCTGAAAAGTCATTATAGTCAAGTTGATATAGTATTGGTATGGGAATGGATAAATTAGTGAAATAATAGGAATTCTAGAAATAGAGCCCAGTGTATTTGACATTTAGTATTCAACAAAGATAATACAGTTCACTGGGAAAATGACAGATTTCTTTAATAAGTGGTATTGGCACATGTGCAGAAATTAATTTTGTACCCCCTCATTTGACTTAGGTTAAAATAAATCCCATATGTAGTGGTGCCTGTGGCTCAAAAGAGTAGGGCACCGGCCCCATATGCCAGAGGTGGTAGGTTCAAATCCAGCCCCAGCCCACCCAAAAAAATGCCAAAAAAAATAAATCCCATATGGATGAGGAACTTAAATATACTGTAAAATAATTCTTAAATGAAGATAAAAGCCATTGTATACATTCTTAAAAGAAGTTTTAAAAGAGGACAATAGGTTCTGTACTAAAGAATTCTTTTACAAGTTGACATGAAAAAGACATCAACTAAGCAAAGGATGGGATCAGATAGTTTACTAAAAGAAAACGTTGATATGGCTAGTAAACATGAGGAAATGCTTGATATAGAATATAGTACTTGGGGTAATACATATTAAGATTACTTTATGCCTATCAGTAAGACTTGGAAAATAAATATATGTAATGCTTACTGCTGGTGGAGATATAAGGGAAAGAATATTTGTACATTATTTATAGAAATGGGAATTGTTACAACTTTTGGGAAACAATCTATATCAGTTATTAAAATAAAAATATGAGTACTTTTGACCCATCTGGAGAATCTGTTGCATGCAAATAAAAAAAAACACTAGAAATTGGGAGAATGCATGCAGGTATGTTGTAGCATTGTTTATGGTAGCAAACACCTGAAAACAACACCATTATTAAGAGAATAGTTGATTAATTTTGATAAGTCAGACTCTGGAATACTATGCAGCCATTAAAAGGATAAATTTAGAGCTTTATTGATTGACTTCTATAGGTGACCAAATGAGAATAGCAAGATGCAGAAAAGCATATTCCATATGATTTAAATTTGCATAAAAACCCTGATAAAGTCAACAAGCATAAAGGAATATACATTAAGTTGGGCAATTAAGTTCACAAACTCATCTGCATTATTGAATATCAGTGCAGTCACCAGATGGCCAAGGGCAGTATATTGAAGGTGACGCTAGTGATATTCAGCAGTGATGTACGTAGCACTTTTTCTAGGATGAGTTCAGGAACTCATTCAATGAAAGCTCCATTGGCCAATCCAGGAAAGGAGTTCCACTATTGCTTTGAAGAGTGGACTAGGTGCTGATGATGGTATATAGCTTCCCAAAGGGAGTGGAGTATCTTGGCGGTAGCCATAGTGATATTCAGCAGTGAGGCATGTAGCACCTTTTCTGGGGTGAGTTCACAAGCTCAATTATCTGACCTCATATACACATATGTTTGTGTGTCATATGGACTTAAAGTGAGAATACAGAAGAACATAAACTAGGGAGTTAATTTAGTTAAGTAATAAGGTATGCAAAGGAAGAAGGGAATGGAGGAGGCAAGCAAAAACACAAGAATGTAATGAAAGCAAGGCAATGTGTATCACAATCCCATTCATGCTGACAATGCACAGCAGGTGGAACACACCCTCCTCATTCCTCATTTTTCCTGCCTAATTCTTTTCTGTTAGGCAGTGTGTTTTTTGTTTTTTGGGGTTTTTTTTGAGACAGAGCCTCAAGCTGTCCCCCTGGGTAGAGTGCTGTGGCATCACAGCTCACAGCAACCTCCAGCTCCTGGGCTCAAGTGAGTGTCCTGCCTC